GAATTACAGTGTAGGAAACTGAGACACAAGCAGGCCACAGGGAGTTAGGAATCCAGGTGCCTGCATCCCTTCCTTTGGTAACATCAGCCCCGCCCCCTCCTGGTAGCCCGGTCCCCTTCCCAGGCCCACCTTTGACAACAGCTTGATGCTCCAGTCGTATCCAGCCAGCCTAAATTCCCCGATTTTGATGAGGGCTTTTACCTTCAGTTCAGTTACACCGAGAGATCTGACTGGTCTGTGCGGAACAGCCCGAAGTTTGTAGCTGGTGTCACCTGGCCATTGTGAAGTAAACCGCTGTAATCCGATTACTTTCAAGTCCTGGCCATACAGTGTTCCTTTAAAAACAACTCCAGTTGAATTTCCTTAGGAGGCAGACCAGATTTTTTTTTAAAGAGCTGCTACTCCTTTTTAACAAATACTTCCTAAAAACTGTATTACCAAGGAATCAGTGCTTTGTCTTAAACTGGGTCCTATAGGAGGCCGAGTTCCTTCGGAAACTGGCAGAGTGCCTTAGAATTATAAGTGGATGGGTCCAGAGTCCCTTTACCTGATCCAGGAACCATTACCCCTGGGCGGTATCAGATGGTACTTAGCTCACCAGCAAACAAGGCTCTTTAGTCACGTCTGACTCTTTGCAACCCTGTGGACTGGAGGAGCCTGCCAGACTCCTCTGTCCATGGAATTCTTCAGACAAGAATACTGGAGTGGGTTGCCATCCTGTCCTCCAGGGGATCTTCCCAACCCGGGATCGAACCCCTCATGTCTTATGTCTCCTGCATTGACAGGTGGGATTTTTACCACTAGTGCCACCTGCTGCTGCTGCTAAGTCGCTTCAGTCATGTCCGACTCCGTGCGACCCCGTAGACGGCAGCCCACCAGGCTCCTCTGTCCCTGGGATTCTCCAGGCAAGAACACTGGAGTGGGTTGCCATTTCCTTCTCCAGTGCATGAAAGTGAAGTCGCTCAGGCATGCCCGACTCTGAGCAACCCCATGGACTGCAGCCCACCAGGCTCCTCCGTCCATGAGATTTTCTGGGCAAGAGTACTGGATTGGGGTGCCACTGCCTTCACTAGTGCCACCTGGCAAGCCTCAAACAAAAGCCCATGAGAAAAACAAACAATGAAACAGATACGAAGGTCAGAAATAATCTGACCTTTTTATATGTCAAATTAAAACACCTAAATAGTCATTATGGGGTTAAATCAGACCTTTGTGACTTTAGAACTTTGTAGTCCCTTGATTTCAATCATGTCTAGAGGTGTCACTTGAATCCTTTTGTTAGGTAGTTAGAATAGGGAAAAAGAGTCCAAAATGGCAGTGGCTAAAAGACCTGGAAGGGAAAGCCTGCGAAAATAGAACAAAGGAAGGTCCGAGGACCGCAGTGAGAACCTCAGGTAAAGCAGACAACACTCCTGGCTGGCCCAATTTACATAAGACAGGCCCAGGGACAGAGAAACATATAAAAAGAGGAGCCAAAGCCCTCTTCTCTCTCTCTCCCCCACGCGATGGGGCGATCTTCTCTTCGCGTCTTTGGATCGACGTGCCCTCATGCCTCAAAGATGGATTTTCCTGCTATTATCTAAATAAACAGAGCTGTAACACTGAGCTGTAACACTGATTTATTTAAGAGCTATAACACGGTCCTTTCGAGACCTGAGAGCTATAACATGGTCTGTCCTCCGAGAGCTGTGACCCACCAAGGGGCTTTAATGTCCGTCACTCCAAATTTTTGTTGTGACGAGACAAAGAACCGAGGAGCATACACTCGCGTGACACTTTCATCCATGGTCCAAAGACCTCCGAGGTCTTTATCTGACCTGACCTGGCCCATCCCTTAGACTTCCCTCTCAGATATAGGAGAAAACCTGCTCTGAACTGTCCAGGCTTGGGTTTGCCTGATTCTCTTTAGGAATGAATTTGCCCCAGGTGTAAGGTATTCACCAAATACAGAAAGAAGTCACTTGTCAACTTGCCAGACAGGCTCAGTAGCTAAAATTCAATGGGGTCAACCTCGCCTCTATATGTGGAGATTGGCCTAAAGGCGTTTGCCCTTGAGTTCAACTCCCTCTTGGCTGCGCTGGACTTCTCTGAAACACATAGAGGACATTTATGCTGTTCCTTTTGGCACGTGACACAGACCTCCTGAGTCCTGGATGGTGCAGGTCTTCAGAAGAAAATCTAGCTCATTTCTCTTGGAGGCATGTTTGTATTTCAGACAGACCCTTCTGTATTTCAGAAGGGTCCCCAAACCTGGAAATGAAAGATCAGTTATCAAGAGGAGGTGGAGAAGAATTAAGTGTGTTTTCTTTACAGTTTTTACTGATGATAGATTTCAAGAATTTAGTTCTCTCCAAGAAAAATAGAGATGGAGATTCTAGTATTTATCTTGGTGGATATATGTCTGTGCAAATGATGTGTGATATTTTATGAGAGGGTGTGAATGTGTGTATAGGACTGAAGTGTGAATTTCTAATAATTATGTGTCCCGGATGTGTGTTCAATATCTATGTGTGTGTGTGTGTGTGTTTCTGAGTGTGCGTGCCATCCAAACAAGAATGTGAGTTTATAAATGTTTGGATATTGAAAAGGTTAGCTACATGCAAGCAAAGCAGATGTTTTAATGAGTTCTTAAATATTTTAATAAGTGCCTTGGTGTTCTTCAGATAAAGAAAGAACAGGAGAAAAGAAATGAGTTACTCCTATTTCCTCTGGTTAAGTGAGTTTAACAGCAGAAATGTAGACTGTCCACTATGGGATATATATAGCTTGATTTTTTTTTTAAGCGGAAAATTATTACTCCTGATGTGGGTGAGAAACGAAACCTTCTTATGAAGAAGTTTCCTGTCTTTATTGCCAATTATGTGTGCCCTGTCGTAGTACTAAAAGCTTAAACTTAGGAGGCAGGGAGTTGAGGAAGAAAAATTCCTCTTTCAGGAGTCATGGGAGGGGAACAGGGAAGGGATGCTGAAAGGAGGGAGGGAGTTTGGATGACCAAACAGGAGCTCAGCTCAGATGCCCTGTGATGAGTTCTGCGTTAAAAGGTGTGGTTTGGGGTGAACCAGGAGCAGAGCTGTAGTTTCAGTACAACAGCCGGCGGAGGAACTGCACCCAGTAGAAAATTTCCTCTCCTGCCAGTTTAGTCCATGCAGCTGGAGATCTAAATCCAGACAGCTCCACTTCCTCAGAGGGCCACTCTCAACCCGATTTCCCTCCCATGAGCAAAGACCAATGGGCCACAGTTTGACCTTCTTGGAAGATGCTGGGTGTCCAGCGTGGCTGAGTGGTGTAGACCCCTGGAAAGCCTGCAGGATTGGCTGCAGGGGGGACGGGTGGCACCCAGCTCCACCACTGGCCTCATCTCCGCCTGGGTGGGAAGGCTGGGCCCATTGTCCTCCTGGCCTGGGGAGGGCGCGGGGTCATTAGTTAGAGGATGATGTGGTCTCTGCTAACCAGAGGAAATGGCCTGCTTTTGTTTTCCACCCAGTAGGAAATGGAACCTGAATCCATTAGATTCTGGGCAGCTCGACCGCGGCACAGTTTGAGCTCTTGGAGACGCGATGCCTAAAAGGCTACTTGCATGGATTTGTGTGTCCCAACCACCATTGTGCGGCGTGCCCATCTTTTATGCATTTAAAGCCTGTCAGGCTGGTAATCTAAAGCAGAGGTCTGGAAGACAGTAATACCAACCGACACGGGGAAGAGGAGAGTGCACCTGTAGAGTTAAAAAATGCATGACCCTTTCCTCAAAGAGGGAACACAGGAGAAAGCCCCCATCCTGGCTGGTAGCTGCTGAGCCGGAATGCATAATTGACGGACCCGTGCTGCTCCATGCAGATGGCGACATTAAATCGTGATTGATGCTAAGAGAGGCACACATCTTAGGAAGGTCTCCAAGAGGCTTCTGAATATTTCTAGGTCTCTTGTGCCTTCCCGTCTTCTGTTCTACTCTGGGATTAAGCACCCACCCCCCCTTTCTCATTTCCCAAGAACCCCTCCTGGGGATGACAGAACTTCACTCCCAAATATAAGATGCATCAAATGTCATCACCCACCTTTTCTGCCTTTGAAGATTGCCCACTTCCCTCCTGGCCCCCACGAAGCTGCTTACCGCCAGCCGGGCACTGCTAGCGGGTGGGGGTTGGCAGTTCCTCCCCTGCAGCTGCCTTCCCAGTGGCTGGTCACCCCTGGACAAGGCAGCAGCACACTCTGCTGGTGGTGACCAGACAGGAAGGACCGCGGATAAAAGCTCAGAGAAAACGCAGGCACAGAGCACCTTTGTCAAAACTCTGAGATCAGAGCCACTGGATTCCCTAATGCAGATTTTTCCACTCAATGTGTAATGAAATAATAAATCAAATTTGTGGTGCCTGTGGAATTAAGTGTTTGGGGGTTTTGCTTTTTCTTTCTTTAAAAAAAAAAAATGCTGAAATCACCCTCCAGGGCCTGTTCTGGCCCAAAAGTGAATATGCTTCCTCTGTATCACATGTAATTGTTACCAGGCTTACTTGTGGGTCGGCACCACAAAACCACTATTGTCAGCTCCCAGAGTCTTGACTTCTGGCCCTGGGCTGGGCTGGGAGGCACCATCGAATGACATGAAGGATTTATGAGATAAAGACAGAGATGCAAGGTTTGAATGAGAAGATGGGTCACGCAGGAGAGACAGAAACAGGAAGGGAAGCATGTTAAGTTTACAGTTTTTTGTTTTTTTTTTTTTAATATCAGCCCATGTAATTGGGAATATTTATGACTTCTGGAATATTTTCATTTTGGAGAGAGAGTGTGTGTGTGTGTTGTACGTGTGTGTGGCTGGGTGAGCTGGGGGGTAGAATGAGCTGAAATAATCTCTTCCACTGAATGAGTAAGTAGGTTAGTCTTTTGGACTGCCATAAAAGGTCTGTAAAACAGTGTTAATCAGCCACTGGTAGAGAAGAGAAACAAGGAGAGGAAAAAAAACAGACTGTAACATATTTAAAGTTCTTGTCTGCCTTCTCTTCCAGACCAACCCTGTGGAGGTCGTTTGAATTCCAAAGACGCTGGCTACATCACCTCCCCGGGTTACCCCCAGGATTATCCATCCCACCAGAACTGCGAGTGGATTGTTTACGCCCCCGAACCCAACCAGAAGATTGTCCTCAACTTCAACCCTCACTTTGAAATAGAGAAGCATGACTGCAAGTAAGCGCCGCCCTGTGCCCTGTACATCCCTGAGACACACCCTCCCACCCCCTCCCCAGGTTCCTGCCACACCCGCCGCCTCGTGGCAGCACCCCCGGGCCCCAGGACCTGCAGAACAGTGGTATATCCTGGCCCCCGAAAGGAACCTCAAGAGGTTTATTTCTTTCAGAGGAAATCAAAGCCTAGTTGACCCTGTAGAATGGAGGTAAGAGACGTATTGAGTGAAGAGTATGAAGAATACACCCTAAACTCAAAGGCTGGTAGAGGAGGAGAATTCCACGTGGGGGCAGGGGGTGGACTACCTCATGCCAGCTCTTGACCTTAGGAGTGACTTTCCCCTCAGCAAGGCCCACCAGGCTCCTCTGTTCGTGGAATTTTCCAGGCAGGATTACTAGAATGGGTTGCCATTTCCTTCTCCAGGGGATCTTCCTGACCCAGGGATTGAATCCATGTCTCTTGCATTCCCCCAGAGATCTCCACATTTCTACTGCTGTTCCCACATGGAGGAACTGCAGCAGCTTCCTTAGTAAAACAGTAGCCAGATCCCCAAGTGGAGATTTCCTCTCCATTTAGCCATGGAGAGTCAGGCTGTTGTTTTATGAAGCAGCAGCTGGTCCTTATAGAAAGAGGGTTAAAAATCTAAGTCTATACTGGTAGGCCTGAGATGCACCTTGATTCTCAAAATTTGTGCTATACAGGTTAGAGTCTCAAAACTGGTGTTCTGGATTTATTTAACACTCTTCCAATTTTTTTATAAATATCAATCCATTTGGTTCTCACAAGGGCCCTGAGAAGTTGGTATCTTTATCATTATGACTTCCATTTTGCATATTAGAAAACCAAAGCTCAGAGCAATTAAGTAAGTCACCCCCGGTCACTCAGCTGGGCTCACAGCATTGATTCTACCATTTTGAAAGTGTGTGATTTTAGGAGACACCAGGCAGACATTGACATCTGTGAGTGCTTTAGAAATCCCGTCTTCCCAGCCGCCTCTAGGGAATCCATCACTTCTCCCAGCCAGCCTCATTCCATGTGAGCATCAAAGGGAATTTATTTATTTATTTATTTATTTTAATTGAAGGATAATTGTTTTACAGTACTGTGTTCGTTTCTACCAAACACCCACGTGAATCAGCCGTAGGTGTACCTATGTCCCCTCCCAGTTGAGCCTCCCTCCTGCCTCCCTCCCCATCCCACTCACCTCCCTCCCCATCCCACTCCTCTAGGTTGTTACTGAGCCCTGGTTTCAGTTCCCTGAGTCACACAGCAAATTCATCAAAGGGAATTTCTTTTCACAAAGTTTCTAATTTCTGTAATCTCTATCTCTTTATTGCTTTGGTCACAGTAAGGAAATGGCAGCCCACTCCAGTGTTCTTGCCTGGAGGATCCCATTGACAGAGGAGCCTGGCAGGCTACAGTCCATGAGTGCTGAGCACAAGAGTCAGACACAACTTAGCACTATATTTTTTTCTATGGATACGTGTAGCTACAGAAGCTTATAGAGTAAGATGTTCTACATTCCATCAACTATTGAAATGTAAAATATTTTACTGCACTGGGAGCTTAGTTATACCCATATATAAATTCCTACTGACTGTGAACCAGTCTACATTTTCTATAATTTTACAGCAGTAATCCCTCTAGTTTCCTATCAGGTAAAAATATATAAAATCCCATTCAGAGTGGTATTCCCTATTCAGTATATATGCCTATGACAAAAATCACATATAGAATAAAAGTCTTGGATGATTTCAAGAAAAAAAGCAAAAACAAAAAAAGAAATGCTGTGTTAACATCAGGGTCCCTATTAGTTAAAGTGAGGTAGGGAGCAGCACTGTATTATGTCAAGAGTGTGAATGCCCTTTATCTAGAGGGCTCCACCTTAAAGTCTTTCTTCACTGAAACAAAAATGAGTTTTCTCTGTAGGACAGAATATGCCAATAATCATTTGTTGTTGTTTAGTTGCTGAGTCATGTCTAACTCTTTGCAACCCCGTGGACTGTAAGCCCACCAGTCTCCTTTGTTCATGGGATTATCCTGGCACAAATACCGGAGGTGGGTTACCATTTCCTTCTCCAGGGGATCTTCCTGACCCAGGGATTGAACCTGCATTGCAAGTGAATTCTTTACCACAAGCCCGCCAACGATCATGTCTTTCTCTAAATAGAGTGCCTAGAACGTGCCATGGCACGTTCTGAGTTTCCATGGCTCTGATGAGTTTTCAGTGGCCCTTATGATTAATAAATAGTCTGAGCATTCCTTGTGACCAAGGCACTGTGAATACTGACGAATTGACAGAGGAGACAGCTAGCAGGAGGTGTACCAAGGGCAGGCCTCAGTCTGGGCCCTCACTTCCTTGTGGAGGAGACAAGCTCCTCTCTAACCAGAGCTAGGTTGGGAAATTCAGTGAATCAGTGTCCTTGTTATCATCCTAGGATGCCTTTGCACCTTCATAACAGTTCCTTCCTAACAAGAGATAGTCTTTGTTGAAAACCAGAGGGTTTCCCAATAGTCTTTGTTGAAAACCGGAGGGTTTCCCAGATGGACGCCTCATGTGATGAAGAGTCATAAGATGGAGTTCTAATCCCAGATCCACTCTTGACTCAGTGGATGACACGGGGGAACTTCTTGGTTCCTCTTTGTCCAAGTTAAATGCACAGCCTGCATATATTTGCACAGCATCTCAGGGCTGCCAATTCCCTGCCAGTGAATGTTACCAAAAATTTCTGTTAGAAGAGCTTCTTTCTAAGGTATAAAGCTTCCGGTGCCTCTGGCTGGGATATAGAAGGTTGGCACAAACTGAAGCATGCTGTACTCAGACCTTGGGTCTGAGCTCAGAGAAATTTGACTAAGCACCTCTCTCAGATGAGGGCCAAAATCTGTTATGCTTATGCCAGCAAATCTCCCAGGGAAATTGCAGAGAGGTCATCTCATGTATATTCATAGTGGCGGAGAGAGAAGCCAGGTTTTTGAAGGGAAAACTCAGGAGCTGGTGAGCGTGGCTTAAAACACGTTGGAAGCATGAAAAGCCAGGGAAACATGCTCCTGCTCTGTTTGGGGCTGTGGGGTACCCTTTCTCCTCAGGACTCAGTCCCAGGGATGGGGCGAGCGCAAGGTCTCTGAAGCCACTGGTGGCAGAGGATCCAAGATGGTGTCTCTAACTGGAGCTGGAGTTGAGGAAACAGGCAAGTTACAGGTTATTCTGAAGCTTCTGGTGCTTATCATCCATACCAAGTAGCTTCCTGTTCTTCTCCCCACTCCTCCACTCCTTGCTTCCAGCTTGAACCAAAAAGTTCAGGGAGGTCAGAAAACAGTCTTTCTGGAGTCTCTTTGCTCCAGTGCCGAAGTGTCAGCAAGACTCTGCTGGGGTCATGCTGCTTCGTCTGGTGCTTACCTCTCTCCTCTCCCCCCCTTTCTTCTCCACGCCTCGTTTCTCTCTCATTCTGATTAATTTTTGTACTTGGAAGGACACATCGGGTCTCTCCATCTCTTATCCTAGAGGTGTTTTAAGTCTTCCCTGCCATTTGTGTTCAGGGTAAACAGGCTCCCCTTGCCCCTACTGCCTGGCTTCACTTTCGTGTGAAGGGGGCAGTTCATCTCATTAAAGTCTTAGAAGTTCCGTTCCTCCTCTCTCCTGCTCTCATTTTCCTTCCAAGGGAGCTTCTGGGCTGGGAAAGCACTTACTATCAAAGGAAGCTAGCATCCCTTCTCCTTTCATTTCGGGTGTGTGTTTCCAACTGGATTTGGTTCTCAAGGTCCTTTTGTTGGCGTTGTTCAGTGCTCAGTCGTGTCCGACTCTTTGAGACCCCGTGGACTGCAGCATGTCAGGCTTCCCTGCCCTTCACTATCTCCCTGAGTTTGCTCAAACTCATGTCTATTGAATCAGTGATGCCTTTCAACCAACCATCTCATCCTCTGTCATCCCCTCCTCCTCCTCCCTTCAATCTTTCCCAGGCATCAGGGTCTTTTCCAATGAGTTGGCTCTTCGCATCAGGTGGCCAAAGTATTGGAGCTTCAGCTTCAGCATCAGTCCTTCCAATGAATATTCAGGGTCCTTAGGGTGAATACTCACCAAGAGAAAACTTCCCAAAGATTTTTTGAGAAGAGCATGCAGCAGCAATACCCCTGCAAAAACTGGAAGTGAGCAAGAACATCAGGAAACAAAAAAAAAAAACCAGCCTCCCTGTGGAAAAAGGGCAGTAATCACATGCCCGCCCTCTTCTGTTTTCCCTGTCTTTCTTTGTGCAGGATTAACTGCAAAGATGGCCCATGACCTGGGAGTGGGCCCTGCTATGAGAGGATTAGCCTGGTCACTGGCCCCTAAGCTTTTGGCTCTCTATCCCTTGAAATCCACGACCTAAAGGTGGAGGCCGTTGGTGAATAAACCTCAGACAGGCAGACCTTTTCCCCTAACCGTCACTTGCTAATTTTGTTCCATTTAAACTTACCGTCTGCTTGGAAACTTTCACTCACCAGCCCTGGTTTTGCCTGAGTCAGTGCAATCCAAGGCCACCGTCTGCAGTGAGCTCCCCACCTCCTCCCTCTGGCCATCGCCAGGAACCCAAGCCCCCAGCACCCGTAGGCCATTCTGAGGCCTGGTTACCAGTGGGCAAGCAGAAAGCAGAAACCCCTATGGCCCTGCCAGGTCAGGGTGGCTGACAGATGGAAAGGCAGGACTCAGGGCTGACTGAGCAGACAAAGCGAAGCCACTTCATTCCCTGCGGTGGGGAAGAGCATCCTGCTACTGCCTTTCACGTGAGTCATTGGCCAAGTAGCTGAATATTAGGGCGTTAGAAACACATGCACGCAAACTTGAGTATTCTTTCCCTTTCTGAGATCTGAAATAGATGTATTCTTGAAAACCCCTATCTGTGTATGATACAGAGCTTATTCACAAGCACTCGCACAGGCCTGGTGGAGGCCCAGATGCAGCCAGAACCAAGAGTCTAGGTCCATTTGTTCTGTGCTTACTCACGCAGTCGTGTCTGACTCTTTGTGAC